ATTATGTTGTTTATGGTTAGCCTGTCAAATACCCCCTTCTCAGACACTTTTACCGGACAAAATGCTAGCCTTAAAGCCTAGTGGATTATTGAAAGTTGACGAGGCCAACGGAGCGAGTGGAGGATTCAAAAAAATGAGCGATGTTAACGCCCGAGCAAGACGGTGACGCAAGTCAAAGTACATCCATTTGTTGAGATTTGGGCTCCCGCATGCGGGATAGCGTTAACTGAATAGTTACAAAACAAAATGGGGAACAACTCCTGAAGAACACGCCTGCTGTGATCTCAAGATCTCTTGATAAGGTAGATAAAGAAGTATAGAATACGCCCTTGTTTTAATAACCAATCCTCATGGTGATGAAGCTGAAGCACCGGTGAGGGATGCAGAGTAAACGACAACAGAGAACAATGACAACAACAAAAAAAAGGAAAACAAACAAACAAAGAAGAAACAAAAGATAGTACCTCCTGTAACAGAATTCTTCTTCTAACTACCATTTGTACCATGAAAAATAAATTAAATGTTTCCATTCATGAACGAAATAAATGAAGAAAAATCATATACGCTAGACTGACCGTTCCGCTCTTTCGTTGTTCCTCCAGTTCTTTTTGAGCTTTGGCCTCTATGGCTCGTATATCCTCCATCGTTAAACCATGCCAATTATCTATCCAACAGAATACTTCCCGATGGAATTTGGAAAACAACCGAGGATATTGCTAAAGAAAAGATTGAGATATAACTTTTAAAAAGTGAAACAAAACTTACTGTGTGGGTGTAACTTTCAACCATTTTTTGGAGGCCAAACCACTTGAAGTGAACGCTAACTAATTTATAAGCGCACATGACCGGCTCAACTGTTTCTCTCCAATTTCCATTTAGTGGTCCTCTGAAAGTACCGATATAGATATCCTAACAAGCAAGAAAAACTTCAAGACAACAGGTACTGTTCAGCACATGACTAGAACAGTTTGCAGCTCTGAACAAGAGGAAGGGAAGAGAAGCGAAATCTTGAACGGTGAAATATGTATTTTGAGTCTAGCACATAAAATTACTAGATTAGATCTAAAGCTTTTCTGGCTCAATTTGCTCATGAGTTGGTATTTACTTTGATTCTCTTTTCGTGACATAATTACGCTGAGACAAGTAAGGCATCGAAAATTGTATGGCTTACATCCACTTTTTCAGGCTCCCAAAACAAGCAGGTATGGATAAAAAATGATCAGCGAGCTTTGCTAGCAAGAAAATAGCAAACGATTTTGTTAATGGGTGGTCTCGACAAATCTGGGGCCAAAGCCTTCAGCTGGCAACAGACAGCCTGCTCACAATTAATCTTAGACTAGTTGAAAAGCAAAGTTCCTCACGCTAATGACGAACTCTTCAATAATGGCTAATTATTTTTTTCGCAATAGGGAAAGAAAACATAGCGTCACTTTTTTGACTGGTTGAAATTTACTGTTGAACCAGTCAAACTCCACACTTTATCGAACTTCTTGAATTATCGTGAAACGGTTAAATATGAGAGCTTCGACCAACAATAAGTTTTCTAGCTCTGTTGGGAATGTCTGCTTTTGAACTTCAATGTTGCCTCTCTCTGTGGGTGCTACTTTTGTAATATTAGATTTAAATGCAGCTGTACATTCCACTGTATTCGACCCTCTGACAATAAACATTGTGATCACATGATGCGCCTCTCATTATCCTTGAAAAAAAAAGAAAAAAAGTGTGATGAAAACAAATGCGATAGAGGATGAAAATCCTGACTATTGACCATACATAAACCTAATTGGGAAAAATGTAAACAAAACGCCAATCATCTTGACAAAATGGAGCCAATAAAACGAGGGTAATTATGCGTCGACCTGATGTATTCATTAAATGATAGGCCAAACAAAGCAAATAGTATAACGCACCGCCCAGTCTTGGAGCTCACAAATTTGCTGGGTGTCGTCGTTGGTAGTATATCACCAGCATGTAGGAATTCGTTGTCATTAGCGATATTTATATCTACCACATCTCTTTTAGCTAGTTCTTCTGGAGGAAGACCGTGAGCCTGATGAAAGAGAAAGTCTGATTTCAAACAAGCTTTAAAAAAGAAAAGACTTACATTAGCGGTAGTGCCTCGATCAGGAAGATGGATAGTCTCAATTTTAACAAAAAAATTTTCTTTCATATAATCAGGGTTCTGAAAATTTAAGTGGAAGTTAAGTTAACAAAAACGAAAGGAACAATTGAGCATATAACTTACAGTGAGCACCGTTTTGCAATATGGGTATGCATTCCAAGCTTCTTCATGTATAGCAAGTGAGCCTTTTGGTGCTATTTTACGTATAATAGAAGGAACTTTCCTAAAAAACGTATCAAGCAAATCGATTTAGAATGTTGACATTTTAAAGAAAGAAACTAACGATTGTAAGTGATATATCTTGTGAGTGTATTGACCCTTTGAATATTTCCCATTCAACAAAGGGACACCATCAAACGGTTCATTTTTTAAGACCTAGACAAGTATTATTGTAGCATACAACAAAAGTAATAGCACAAAAAAAA